GACAGCCCTTCAGATAGAGTAATGCTTGTAAAGGGGCACACGTCCGGATGCTGGAGAGCCTGTGACGGATTCAGATGAGCTCTCATTTCTTTGACCCCACAATGCAGGTTCTGCAAGAGACTTAGGATCCTGCAGACTTGTGGACTGGGATGAGTCTGAAAGTCTGGGGGGAGATGTATGCATATTTTCATTTGAATATTGTAATATTCGATACAATAATACAATAGTTTATTGTAACTCATTCCGAGACTTACAATCGACAGGTTAGACAAGCTTTTAATAATAATAAATAATATTTGGCAGCTTTTAATAATAATAAATAATATTTGGCTTGCCAATGAATAAATATGGCATTGGATGGGGAGCTGTGTACCTCTAGTAGACCTGGGAAAACTTTGCGGATCATAAAAGAAATGGATTAGGACACACCTTCAGCAAAAGCTAAGAAATGAAGTAATGCATAGTCATTCATTCTTATAATTATAATCTTATTTTTTTTATTTATTTGTATTTATTTATTTGTAATTTGATTTTTAGGCATTTCCATTAGCCACATGGTTCCTGGGGTGGGTTACAACAATAAAACCATGTATAAACAATATAAAAACAAAATAATGAAATAACAGTAGAACAATAAAAGTGCCCCCTATCTCATCTTAACAGAACAAATAATTTCATAAAAGGCATTCTATTATAATACCATTTTAAAAAGATTAATAATTAAAATACCAGCAAAATAAAAAGGGTCTTTGCATGGCCCCAAAAGGAACTCAGAGAAGGTGCCAGGAGAAACTCTCCGGGGAGTTCATTCCCAAGTCACAATGCCACTCCCCCCCAAAAAAAGAAAAAAAAACCCCACTTCTTGTCCTCTGAGAAACATGCCTCTGGATTGTGCTACAGAGCAATGTTTAATAGTGAGGATTCAGACAAAAGGCTTGGACCAAACTCCTTCCTTAAATGAAATCCACTTTGATCAGAACACTCCAGCAGTACATTGAAAACCACAGAGATGAGTAGTTGTTTGGTGTGGATTTATTCCCCAGGAGTATTTGTCCTTATGTTTTGACAACTTCAGCCATGAGTTCGTTCACGCTGTAAAATCCCCGAGAGACGTTGATTCCTTCTGCTGAATATAATGGCTTAATTTATTGAGAGAGTGTGTGCAGTGTGTATATATACGTGAAAGCAATAAAATAAAATAATAAAATAGCTGGGATGACAGAATCTAATTATCCTGCTTTACTGTGGTTGTTTATGCTTTCGCAATTGAGTATATTTACTCAGAAGTGCATCCCATTAAGTTCATTGCAATTTAAGCTCTACACATAGCTGTGCTTAACACTGTAACCTTGCAATGCAATCTTAGTCAAATCTACTCAGGAGTAAATTTCACTGAGTTCAGTTATGGATACTTCCAGGTAAGTGGGTATAGGATTGCAGCCATAATCCATAAGGAGTTCAATTGGAGAGCAGTTATTGACTACGAACACAAATCAATTGTATTAAGTGTAAGAGCAGCTTTTCTAGAGTCCCTGGAGAATTTTAGCTCCATTTCCTTCCAGGGACTGCTGTTTCTGAAATCCTAAGATGTAATCTTCAACATTTAAGGCAGGTATATTGAACGTAAAAAACCCAACCCTTGAAAATGCTGCTTGGTTCATCAAAAGTGTTGTGGCTTCTATTAAAATTTGTTGAGTGCTTACCGAGAAGAAGCACTTTTAGAATATGAAACAGAAAGCTGACTTTTATCGCTGCGGTATCCACAGTACAGTGTGTCGCTTTTCCCAGGCTGTAGACTGGGGTCCTTCCCACCCCTCCCTTGAGTTGCTGGGGCTCCTATACATGTTTACTCAGGAGTAAATTAAGTCCACAGTGTTTGCAATCTGCACTTTCTGCTGGAATTTCATGCAAGGGGATGTTGGTGGCAGTGCAGGAGGTAATGAAACATTTATGTTACCATTCGGCCACATGTTGCCAGCTAAAGAATTTCAGGCCATGCATATGTTCACACATGAGAAATTAAGTTTGCATGGCAATGCAAATGGAACCACCTCTATGTGGACTACAGATACACACACACGCCCTTTTTGAAGGGCATGATCCCAAACCTGATGTGAGCAGACTTGGGGTGAAAGCAGCAGGACCAATAAAGTATTTCTGTTGTGGTTTGCAATTCTCATTGGGAGATGCTTGGCGCCGCCTTCGTTCTTTGCATGCTGAGTTTTGGAGCCTGTCCCATGCCATACGGCATATTAAACACAATAAAGATGTTCATTTGGCAGAACAAGATGCCTAGGAGTATCTGATAGCCACACAGATATCAATCAATAAATTGCTTGCTGGCACAAAAAATACACATTTCAGACACACACACACACTGGACAAAACCCAACAGGGAGTTACAGCCCCAGGGCAAACTTATTTAATTTCTTGTGTCTGCACATATGTTCTTGTTGTGATGTTCCAACAAATATTCTGTGGGTTACAGTGATCCTATGAATGAGCGGCCTAGAAAATGTCCTGCTTGATAGCCCTGCTCAGCTTTTGAGAACTCAATTCCGACTCTTAGTTGGTCTGCAGCTTCCACCTTCACTTGTTCTCCCTCTGTCGGTCCAGAGCGTTCACAAGAAGGTCTCCTGATGAACCACATTTTGAACATATGTGTTTTCTTCTTCCCAGCTTTCTTCACTGTTCAGCTTTCACACCCTTCCATAGTGATCAGAAATACACATTATCTTGGCCTTGGTAGTCTCAAGGTAGGCGTCCTTATACCAGATGACCTTAGGAGAAAAACATCCTTCATTGCTGCCCTTAGTTGTCGTTGACATTCTTGGCAGCAGTCTCCATCTGAATACTGAAACTCTTTGGCTGGCAAAATGTGCTCAAAATATTGGCATACATACCTCACAATCCTCCACATGCTGATTCCCTTCTGTGAGAAGTTGATTCTTTTTATTCATTGGCACTGGTGGCATTGGCCCACCATTTACACAAGGGAGATGTACTCTTCCAAAGGGAAGCCCCAAACAAGCAGCCATGTTCATTTCTGGAAGAAGGTAAGTGAGCAGAGCTGTTTTATCTGGCCTTCCCCAACTTGCCTTCTTCCCTAAATCCCTTCCACTCTTTCAGGTTTCTTCACATGCAACTACACTGCTAGTGCACCAGCAGTGTGGGAGACTTGTGCAACGGAATTGGCAAGGCATATGGTCTTTCTTCACCTTTGCGCATTCGGGTTCCTTGGACACTATTCCTTGGCCTGTGGATTGCCTTTGTGGAGCTCCTTCCTGGCCTTGTCCTCTCCCAGTGCCTTGGTCTGCAGCTCCCATGATTCCCAGCTAGTGCAGCCTCATTTCCACTTATGCAATATGCAGATGGCACAGGTATTTGCAAACTCTGCAACTCTTGAACAAGGGCGCTTAGCAGACTGCTGGTCCTGAGGAGATGGGTCTCAGAACCATAAATACAATGAGCATTCCATAAGGAAGGGCTCACACTGAACTTAATTACAGCGGTCTACACAATAACAATTACAGCACCATTGAAGTGTGGAAATTCATATATTCAGGGAGGCGCCTTGATAGTGAAACCAATCATCCTACAGTAATTTCCATCAAACGAACAGAATTGGTTCTTAATATGAAACAAAATTATTACCCAGAACTGTTTTGTTAGCCTTAAGGATTGTAGATGTCCAGGCCAAATCCGGGATGATTACTCTATAATTATTAACTGAAACCATTTTGTTCTGTCCTGCTGTTTTTCACATTATAAACGTGGGATAACTGCTCCCAAAGTAGATGCTGTATTTCAAGTTTATTTAATCCAATTTCTGCAAATATCTCAGTGAATAAATTTCAATCTGGATGCAGGCTGCAAGATGTCACTCATTTTGACTTTACCATGTGGGGTAACATTTGTGTTAGCCTTCCCATTCTAGCACTCCAAATGTGTTGGACAGATGTATTGTTCAGGTATAAACCTTTTAAATTGTTCCAATATAATTTACAAGCTGGTCTCAAATTATCACATGTGCGCATTTGAAAAAATATGTATAAAATGTATATTTTTGAAAAATAAGTACAACACATTTGAATTCATGGGAGAAAAAGATCCTTATTTTCAACGATAGGCACATACACATTTGCAAAATAGTATACATGAAAATGAAGGGACTGCAGGTGGCACAGTGGTTCAAACCGCTGTGCTGCTGGTTGATCGAAAGGTCGCCGGTTCAAATCCACACAACGGGGTGAGTTCCCGCTGCTCTGTCCCAGCTCCTGCCAACCTTGCAGTTCGAAAGCATGCAAATGCGAGTAGATGAAAAGGTACCACTTCGGTGGGCAGGTAACAGCGTTCCTGCACCTCGGTGTTTAGTCATGCCGGCCACATGGCCACGGAGACTGTCTGCGGACAAACGCTGGCTCCCTTGGCTAGGAAATGGAGATGAGCACTAGAGTCAGGCATGACTGGACGTAACGTCAAGGGGAAACCTTTACCTTTACCTTTTTATACATGAAAATGAGTGCAAACTTTCATGTGAGGAGGAAAACCATCAAAGCTCAGAATCTGACATGGACATGAGGGAGCATTGAGTGTCAAGGTGGAATCTGGAGAAACTTGAGTTGGAGCTTTGCTCATATGCACAGAAGAGGAGAGGGCTGGTTGCATTGGTCAGTTGGTTGCACTGCTACAGTTCTCAACATCTGGAGTAAGTGACGGTTTCCACTTATCACCATCCTACAGGAAGCACTGAGCAATGGTTGGACCTTAGCTTTTCCCTGAGCTTTTGAAAGGTACTCACAAAGTCTGTATCTTAAAATTAAATCTTAAATCTTGAAACTCAACTCAAAATTGGGCCAGTTCTTTCTTCAAAAACAGCAGATGGAAATTGGTAGGGTAGGCCAGTCAGGTATACAGGACAATGAACATGCTGTGTTTTATGCGATACTGAAATGGATGCTTGTTTCTTTCTCTCTATCCCTCCCACACTTTTCCTCTAGTGGTATTTGATGACTGTCAAGGAAATCAGAAATTGAACTTTGAAGTTTCAAATCCAGAGTTCAAGGTGAAACCCAACGGGGGCTTAGTAGCACTCAGAAACTTAACAGATGCTGGAGGATCCATATTCATCCATGCACGGTCGGCTCAGGCTGAAGATACAGCAGAAGTATTCATTGTTGGAAGAAAAGAGAGACACGGTTCCTTAAAGGTAAGGTGAAGACAAATGATGTTAAGGTTGGGGCATCAGTTCGATTTGCATGCATGGTGTATCCTTTAGCTATTACAAATGAGAAGTGACTGCAGCTTTCTGAAGATGTAAAATTATTAGTAATGTGGATGATTATTTTCTATTGGCTCCATTTGGTCTCTAAGAAAAGGGCAGTTGATCCTGTGAAGGGGTGTGTTCTGCCTCCACTCGGAATATGAAATGAACATAGGGACTCCATATGGAATATTGTGGATGAATATCCAGATGTATTCTCAGATATCTAACTGGATGTAGTGTTCCTCTTTTGGGGATTTCTTGTGGGGTTCTGGCGACTCCGTAAGCTATGGCTAGGAGGCACCTGCATAAATCAGGGTAGACACACTCTAGTATATGCACAAGAGTGAGGAGCTTAGGAGATTCAGGTTCTGCTCCTCACTCAGCCATGAAGCTCCCTGGGTAACCTGGGCCAGTCAGCCCCTCTCAGACAGGCCTACCTCAGAGGGATGCTGCTGCAAGGATAAAAAGGGAGCGGAAGAGATCTATATGAGGCAACTTGGGTTCCTCCCAACAAGAAAATGTTGGGCTACAAATGTAATGTAATAATGCAGCGCAGAGACATGGAAGCTTGTTTTAATTGTGTGGCCTGGCCCGTTGTCCTCCAAGACACTAATAGCATAGAGTGTTTCATTAAGATCTGTTGCTGTATTTTTGTATACATCACAGAGTGATTTTTGTACATCACTTGCCATTCCTTTAATGCAAGCAATTCACAAATGCCATTATGCTGGATTGTTTTTAGATTATGCTTTTATGGTGTTTATTTTTACTTGGGCTGTGGTGCTGATATTTCCACCCAAGCACAGCCCTGCACAAAGAGCTGCTATATCAATCCTGGATTGCTGTGCTGTGTGTGTGTGTGTGTGTGTGTGTAAAGCAAGACTGCTTGTAAACATGTGAATGATAGCAGTAATGAGAACAATGTAGGGTTGTCATAATGAGGAATTAAGTATCTGTAATTCAAAAGAAACAAGGCTGGACCTCCTGCTTTGCTTTGCTTTGCTTTGCTTTGCTTTGCTTTGCTTTGCTTTGCTTTGGCTCCACCTCGCCTCACCTCATCGCGCTCTGCCTCCCCTTTCCTCACCTCACCCCGCCTTGCTTTTGCCTCGCTCCACCTCACCTCACTTTGCCTTTTTCCTTGCTCTGCTTTGCTTCGCCCTGCTTTTTGCTTCATCTTGCTTCACCTCGCCTCGCCTCACCTGGCTGCCTTGCTTTTTGCTTCACTTCCCTTCACTGTTCATATTCCCCCTTTCTTCAATTCAGATTACAGAGATAGAGCAGAAAGACAAGGGCTTAACTCTCTTCCACCCACCAACCATTTTTTGTTGGTTAAGAACATAGGAAAAGACATGGTGGGGGGGGAAGTGCCCCTCTGGGTCAGCACTCTGCGCACACAGTGGCCAATGAGCATCACTTGCTCTTTTTAACAGACGTGTCTAAGAATAACTTTCATGGGGTGATTTGGAGCATGGGTAAAAACTAGGGATGTATGGATACTGTGAAATCTGTCTCTTCTCTCTTTTGTGAATTCTCAGGGATCTTTTCTTGCACTTTCTGCTCATTGACAAAATCGAATTTTGCATAGCCCTGTGCTTATACAAATTTTCACTTCCAACATTGTCCAAAATACTCAAATCCTTGAAAAAAATGCATTTTTGTCACTTTAGCCTTTGGAGGAAATGTGCATTGGTTGGTTTTGATCTTCTTTATCATATTGTTCTATTATTTGTAATGTGTACAATTGCAGAAACATAAAGCTTTCACACAAATCAGGAAAGCTCATCTGCTGTTGAATGCCTGGGTGCTTGAAGAAATTAGAATTTATTTGGGTGCATTGTGGATTTCTCCAAAATCCCCAGTTTAAAAAAAACTGTTCAAATGCAACATTGTCCCATACATTTATTTTAGCCAAAGGAAAAGCTACATTGATCACTTGTATTGCAGGCAGTTTGATTCTGAAGGGCACTGAGAATTGGCCCAAAGCCATGTTCAGATACAAACACAAGGACTTAGCAAAAGGTACAAATCCACTGCGCTCACAGACACACTACACAAAACTATAGATTGGACTTTCCAAAGGATAAAGGGCTGAACTGTGATCAAAAAAGATTGTGTAGAAGATCGCTTATTCCCATAATCCGGATTTTACTAAACCCACTTTTGCGAATCCAAGAAGGTTTATTGCAGAAGTAAATTGGTTAGTGGCAGGAACAGAAGTAAGGTTTGACCAGGGCAACCAAAGAAAGCTAAATTACCACCCAAGGACCCTGTCGTTCTGCCCACTGGGTTCCCTGAGCATCCCGACTTCATTTTACACATCATTTTTACTCAAGAAGCTGGCTGCAAAACTAAAAACCGCTATCCAGGTTTATTGGCACTCAAATAAGTGATGTTATGATCCAGAGCTGAGCGTCTACTTTCCCTCAGATTCAACATCTACAATGAGTTACATTTATTTTACTGCTCCCTGTTTAGTTAGTTAGTTAGTTAGTTAGTTAGTTAGTTAGTTTAGTGGCTGTGCCCAGCATGGCAGCCATTTTGTGAGAGCACCCACAATACTCCCTTCCGGAGGGATCAAGCGATACAGATAAATTGGGGCTCCCCGGCGTAAGCGTAACCATGATGTGCAATCATTCTGAAAGGACACGGTAGGGTAAGGAAATAGTCCCATCCTAGAATCTGTGGCTGATAGAATTTTTGCTGTGCTTGGCCCTAGTAAAATACCCTCTGTACGTCTGTCATTTTACATTCTCTGCAATGCAGAAGAGCATCTGAAGAGGGGAATCCAGTTTTAGCACTTCAAGAGCTAGGGCAATAAGTCATTTTTTGGAACAACGTAATTATGAATTTTGGCAAAGGTACACACTTAGCTCCACGCTCCACACTTTTCCTACTCCAAGGCAATACTACTGTTCTGGACTAAGCCTTTTGGGAATTTTCTCAGCATAATTCCTTCCACAACCACCCTGCTTCCAGTTGCTCTCTCTCATATCAACCTCTTTTAATCGTATAAGTTTCCAGTGGACATTCTGTTTTGGCTCAGGAGGAGGACCAAGATGCTTTTGCAGTTTGATTGAAACATTTGCCATGCATGCAACCATGTAATAAAGGGAAGAACGGAGATGGCCTTCATTTCTGCACCGTGGCATTTAGCACAAAGGCAGTTGTGACAGTGACTTACAAGACAATTAAGCCGGGTACCTTTTACAGACCTATAATTTTGGTCGACAAAGAAGCCATAATGAGGAGGTTATAAAGGATGAGCAATCTATTGTCTCTTTCTTCTATTTAGTTGATCTGGCAGGTGGCAGTTTCATCACATTTCCAGCAGGCAAGGTAGTTTGACTTAAATCTTCCATTTAACAGTATCACTGGTTCCAAAGGGAAGGCTGAGCAAACTTTTAAGACCCTTCCTTTGTCTGGTGCATTTTGATGTAACCCTCGATCGACAGAATGTCTTGTGCTAATCCTGTGGCCCTGTGGTGGTTTTTATCTTTCCCTGTTCCTGAATCTTATTGAAGGGGGTTCTGTGGCAGGGATTTCTCCTCTAGCTTTTTTGTCCTTCTCCCCCAGTTTGATAGAAGAAAAAAAACTGCTTGCAGAAAGTGTCTCAAAGGGCAACAACGTTTTGGAGAAATTATTGGGGTTCAGGGTTCTCGTGATTAGCTCCCATGAGGTTGGAAAGGAGTGTGGATATGTGAGGAGGAGAAAGAAAGAGAAAGGTGGGGGCACGTACATAATACATAGGCTTGTATAGCAATCCCAAATGGGTGTGAAATGCTCATGGATTTCAGTAGTTTGATCTTTTTTTTTCTTATTTCTATTATCTTGACGATTTTGTTCCATTTTCCTCCTGATATGGCATTGACTCGAGCTGTAGGAAGTCACCTTCCTTCAGATATTCTGGTGTTGATGGTTTTGTTTTAATGGTGATGGCAACCCGCCCCCTTCAGGTCCCACCTTGTGCAGAAATGGCATCATATTCTAATTATTTGTCAGGTGTTGAATGGTGGCCATGGGTGTGTTTGATTTTATTTCCCCAGTCCTAACATGTGCACAAAGGAGGCCTTGATTTTTAGACATGTCATTCCCCCTGCCATGGGTGTGGTGGGGGGGAATCAATGCTCTTTCACACATCCTTTTTATGTTTACATATATATATATGCAGATGGAAGTGGAATATTAAAAGAATTCTTAATGAAGTACAGGCTGTTGCCTTACTGAGCTAACAAAAAGGGACATTTGTAGTAAGTGAAGCAGGAAGCAGATGACAGAGAGTAGTGGTAATAGGAACTTTATTGGCATAAGAATACAATGCAATACAAATCTGCACAAATCCACACAGTTGCACAGAGATCCCCCAAACTCCATGTTATTAATGGGCACTAGAGTGATTCATAAAAATCTCCCATTGAAAGGTCACAGTTTGCATCACTATGTCAGCCGACTCTGTGGATAGAACAAGTCGGACCTTTGCCTGCTCTGACCAAGCTCTCATATTGATCAGAATCAAACCTAGAATCTTGGTGCGCAACTCCTCAAAACTTGAGTAGTCCAAAAGCATGGTGATGATGTTTCCATGCCTCGTCCTCACTGGCCATGCCTTTCAATATGGGGCACCCCTTAAATCTACCTGGTGTGGCAGAGTGTTTGCATCTTGCCAAAGAATACAGTCCTTATGGCCCTCTAGGAATGGCAAAATATCTGGCCATTTGTCCTATTCTGAATGGGATATGTGGGTGCAGAGGGGAACATGGTTTATTGGCAGCACTCAACAACTTCTGGAATTCTCTTGGAAAGCTTACTTTTGACTTAGAGAATCTAATTGATCAAGGCCGATACCCCACAGCTTTAATTTATTAACAAGTGAGGAGATCCCTATTGGAAGTACGGAGTCTGACGCAAGGTCAGGTGTCAAGCTGAAACTGACAAGGACTTTTATA